GCCCAGACGCTGCGTTGCCTGGGCCCCCACGTGGAAAGCACTCCGCGCGCTGAGGTTTCGTCGGGGCGGCCTTTCTCGAACAGATCTGTCCTGGCGGGTTCGGCAAATGGACCGCAGCCGCGGCCTGCGGGAGGGGGCCCAAGCACCGAGAGGGGGGATGGGGGGGAAGCAGGGGGGAGGGGTGGCAATGGGGCACGGAGCGCAGAGGGGGGCCGAAGGGAAAGGCATCAAACCAACTGGAAGTAGCCGCGAACATGAAGCCCCGAGACTGCGGAGCCGAAGCGCCGCTGCCCCCCCCCGCCCCCCCCCGCGCACCCCCTGTCGCCTCTTTCCCGCCGGCGCAAGCCCAAGCACCATCCTCGGCACCTCTGTCCTGCCCCCGCGCCGGCCAAGGAGATTGCGCGCTCTCGGAACGCAGACGACCCGCGGGGCCACGATCACGGCGGGGCAAATGCGCATAAAGGGAGGGGAACACAGGGAGTGCCAACAACATTCGCGACCAAGTCGCCCCACCCCCCATCCAGAAACCAACCTCCTGCTTGGCCGTCCGCCCGCCCCCCGCCCCTCCAATCCTTGCCCCCCCACCCCCTGCCCCTCGCCGTTGTGATCGCGCAATTGCTTCTCATCGACCCCCTCTTCGCCTCTGTCCCCGTCTACTCCGCCCCGGCCTGCCCGGCCCCTCCGCCCGCCCCCCGAACCCCCCTCTTTCGAACGCCGAACTCCTCCTTTGGGGGCGCCCTTGGGCATGACGCCTCGGCGGCGCCCAGCGTCGCGTAGCTGGTCCGCCTGATGCGGGCCCGCCCAGCGCGTGTTCCCCCTGACAAGATCTAGGGGCCTGGTCTGTGCACTGCGAGCCTAAGCGCACCTCTTGAATCTCCGGCGGGAGCACTCCCTGTCGACGGCGTCGTCTGTGATGATCGAGAGTAGACGCCTGGGCTCAGACTGGGCGCCCACGTGGCCGACGTCAGGGCACCGCTTGACAATGCTTCGACCGGGCCAAGTCTCTTCTGGCACTTCGAGTCCGAATGAACGGCGTCGATCAGGCGATCGTCAGTAAGTGATGCAGGGAGTTTGAAAGGGTAATTGTGGTTTGCGCCCATGTGGACTGAGATCCGAATGCGCCCTCGCGCGAGTAAACGAAAAGCACGCTGCCGGTGTTCCGCCGCTCTCAAATCCAACGGCGCTACACCCCGCGCGAGCGGGTCAATCAATCATCAGGCGGCTGGCCGCGGCTAGTACCCTCGCCTCCACGCTGCCACTGAACGGGGCCGGTGCGCGGAACTGCCAGCGCACGGTGCCAGAAGGCGTTCTTGCGAAACCACCTCCAGCTTGAATGGAAGCGTTCAGGGCCCTGATCTCCTCCAACTCCTGGCGGGTGTCCCAGCCCCGCCCGGCGGTGGGCAAATCCTTGGCCATCAGGTCCACGAGTGGTAACATACTGATGCTCAAGCTCCATGCGTCGAAAAATATACAGCCTCTCTTGATCCATTGCAATGTAGTTATCCGATAAATCGCCTGTTCCATGTTCTTGGCCCTCTCTGGGTCGCCAGCTCTCGTCCACTGCCATCGAGCAAGCCTGCCTCCGCGGCCATGTCAGGGGCGTCGACGGCATGGTCCATCAAGGGCGGCATGTAGGCGCCAGCGCGCAGGGAAGCCGCGGCGCGCGCATCATCGATGGTCGGCGCCGTCTTGGCACCCGAGACCATGTCTGCCCACGCGGCGCAAGCCGCCCCGAAGACGCCGAAAAGCTCAAACAATGCCCGCCAATTCGGCGTCTGCTCTGCCATGGCAATGTTCCTGCCAGGGAAACTCTGCGGGCCCGAGTGAACCAACGCACGGCAAAACTCTCTAATCCGTCGTATCTGAATGTCGATGTCGCTCGGCCCATCGGTCGGGGCGCATGGGTTAAGATGATCAGTGGCATCCTGCGCAATGATGCCCATGGGCTCAATCACCCACCGCTGCTCATTCTTGCCAGAAATCCTGACAGGAAAAAAACAAGTCGAGCGCCTTCCCCAACTTCTCAATCCCTACTACTGGGGGTAGGCCGACCTCTGCAAACCCGAAGCTTCTTCGGCAGCGCGACGCGAACGCAGCGACGGAATAACGCCATGAAATTCCAAAATTTGAGACTCAACGTGGCGCGCTTGATCTGCCTCTAATCAGTGCAATGGGGAGCGGCAGAACCGCGACAGGTCGTGACGTGGTGCGCCCTGTCAACTTGATGAAGAATGGATGTGTCAGCGTCGATGCTCGCCGCCCTCCCAGCCCGAGCGCGCGCGCCGTCTCCGTCCGTGCAACTGACCCCTGGACACTGCCGAACAGCTTTGACACCTCATCAAGACCAAGTGTCCTCAGACTGAGAGAGCAGGCCCGATAATATATCGTCGCGGCAATGCCAGCTAGACTGAAATGTGGCATCGGCGGGGCCCAAGTTGCAATAATATGTTCACCGTCGACGCGCGCATGCGCGGACACGCTGACCTCGGCGCACAAAAGCTTAGTCGGTGCAGCATCCCGCTCAGGCGCATCACGAACGTCCGGCACAGCATCCAGCCCTGCTTCGCTTGATGGTGCAAGTAGGTCGCTCAGGGGGTCGGGACTGTCCACGGCAACTACTTTGAATGGCGACTCGTCGCGCCGATACCGAGAAACAACGCCCGCGTTGCGCCGCCCATGTTGGCTACATCTCTGACTGATTTCTCGATCGAAACCTTCGTCGATCCCAACCGCGCGCGCCAGCTTGAGGCGCCTCGGGCAACGGATGTTCTGGACAGCTTGTCTTTATTAGTGCCCGGGCGCCTCGCTGCATTCGCGACCCCGCTGGCCAATGGCGAGTGCTCGCGTAGCAGCTGCCTGGCAGCGCGCAATCCCTGGCGACAAGGTCCTGGGGCCACTCGGCAGCCTCCGACAAGCGCGCCGCGAGCGCGGCCGTCCGGGCAGCGTCTGCAGCGACAGCAGCGCGGGCACCGGGGCCGCGAGGCTCCTGGCATGGCGGCGCTCGAAGGACGAGATAGTGGATGGTGGGAGGCGATAGGGGCGCGACGAGGGAGGGAGGGGCGGGAAGTGCAAGAATATATGGGGGAAGCAGAAATCCCCCCGGCAGGGGCGCATGAAAGAAAAAAGGAGGAGAAAGGGGGAAGGTCGGCGAGGAGGGCGGGAGCACGATGCACCCCCCAAACGAAACTTACCAGTGGCGCGGGGCATAAGGATGGACGGCGAGGGACGGGGCCAACCGATCGCGCGCAGGACGAGGCGGAGAGAGCAGGGGGGGGCGGAAGGGGGTCGAGAAACAAAAAATGAGATGGGGGGGGCGACTCGCGAAATTGCGGCCCTGGCGCCCACGTGGACTGGGCCGTCGCTCACCGAACCCCCTCTCCCCGAGAAAGAGGATGGGCGCGGGGTGGAGAAGATGAGTGATGATACGTGATACGAGTGGAGGAGGGCGACGGGGGGGGGGCCCGACCCTCCCCCGTGCCGAAGCGGGAGGCGAGGGGCGGGGGTCGGGGCCAGCTCCGGGTATCAGGGGGGGGGGGGGGAGGGGGGGGGGGGCGGGGTGGAACGGGTTGTTTCCTCCCCCCGCTCGTCCCCCCCATCCGCGTCCCCCCAAATTTCCCGCTGTCCTCCAGGGCGCCCGCAAGGCCGACCCAGCGCGCCCGCGCAGCAGCGCGGCCCAACGGCGCGGCCACCGCGAGCGGGGCCGCCTGCGGGAGGCGCGGCGGGCATCGCGAAAGCAAGAAGGCGGGCGAGGAGGCGAGGGGCGGGGGGGGCGCGAAAAGGCATGGCCAAGGATGAGGAGGGCGAGGAGAGGGCGAGGCGAGAGGCGGCGGCGAGGGGGGGAAAGGAAGGGGAAAACGAAGGAGAAGCGAAGGCGCGGGAGCGGGAAGGAGGGGCGAGGGGGAAAGGGAGTGAAAGAGGGAGAGAGGGAGGGGTTTGGACATCGTCCTGGAGCACTTACTCTTACTCTCACACCCCCTCCCTCTCTTCCTCCCTCCTCCCCCCTTCCCCTCCTCACCCCGTTGGTTTCTCTCCCCCTTTCGCGTTTCCCCTCCTCCGTGCCCCGTCCCCCCCCCAGAGAAAAACGACCCCGTCCCCCCGGCAAGAATGTGATGGGCCAGTTGAACTACAGTCGATCGCCACCGCTAGCCCAGCAGCCGCGCTGCCGTCGGCGGCCTCCGCGGCCGCGAAGGCCGCCCAGGGGTCCCCGCCCCTATCGCCACCCGCGGGGGCGGCGGCCTCCGCGACCGCGAGGGCCGCCCAGGGGTCGGCCCGTTCCCCCGAGCCAGGGAACATGGCCCTTACCTGTCGGCACGCTCGAGAATGATAGCGTCGTGCGCGGGTGATACATGATGCAAACTGATGAGGAAAGATATTTGATGTTTGGATAACTGCAAGCACAACCGGGATATAACTTCAACATACAAATACTGTATCCCTGGAAACGTAAGGTTAGAGGAATTCGCCGGCCCAGCGGGCCAGAGGCGTGCTAAGATCTCCGGTAAATACTTAACAATATGTCTAATTCGCGCGCGCGGGGCGGCCCCTTGGGGGGCCCTGGACGAAACGTACCCCGGCCAGTCCCCGGCTGACCCCCAGGCGATCCCCAGGGGGGAGGCTATTTTTCGCCACCCCTCACGAGGATCGTGGCCTCCGAGGGGGGTGCTGCCAACGACTACCCCCCTCCCGCCCCAAGGGGCCCCCAAGAGCCCCCCAAGAGACCCCAGGGGAGCCCAATACGCCGCCAAGGAGCCCCAAAACGCACCCAAGAAGCCCCCAAGACGGCCCCAAGAGGTCCCAAAATAGCGCTCCAGGGCCGGCGGGATGAGCGAAGCGATTCAATACTGTAGTATTCCTGGAAGACTGATCCGAAGAGGAGGAGGAGGAGGAGGAGGAGGAGGAGGAGGAGGAGGAGGAGGAGGAGGAGGAGGAGGAGGAGGAGGAGGAGGAGGAGGAGGAGGAGGACTGATCCTCTCAAAGGAAGACTGATCCTCTCAGAGGACACCGGCAGCCCCAGGAGTCCTGAGCGTGCAGCGGTGGGGCCCAGGAGAAGCTGCAGCAGCGCCGAGCTGGAAGCGGCAGCCCGGGAACCCTCTGGTCAGACGGGCGCTTCTGGCAACGGCCCAGCAGAACCCGGCCCTCCTAAATGTGCGCCCGGACATCCGCCAACATGCTGTGATCAGTCCGCGGCCCCTGATGTCCCTATCCGTCCCTTTCGTTTGTTCTTTCGTTGTTGCACTCGCGTCTCGCCTCGCAGCGGGCGGCTCGTGTCCTTTGATCGGCACCGCTTGTGCCGACCCTGACCCATTTCCGGCACATGTTTGGTGGTCCTGGGGCCCCGTAAAATAGTCCCGGGAGGCCGACATCGAGGGCACGGCCGGACTGAAAAAGTCAGATCGTCGGAGATCTGAGAGCAGCGCTGCAATGCCAGAAATCCGCCGACCCTGTCGGCGTGTGGAAGAAGCTGTTCCGTTTGACTCGTCCTCGTCGTCGTCGTGGTCGTTGTTGTCGTCGTCGCTGTCGCCGTCGCTAGTTCTCTCCCTTTTCCTGAGCCTGGTGCCGCTGCCTCCACTTTCACCGGGTTTTCTTTCTCGAGCGCGCCAGATATAGCGAAATTGAGCAGCGCTGTAGTTGAGTCGAAGGGACACCCCTTCCCTTTGATCCCTTCCCCGCCGGGGAAGTCCCGGGGGGGGGTCCTGGGGGGGGTCCCGGGGGGGTCCCGGGGGGGGGTCCCGGGGGGGCGTCCCGGGGGGGTCCCGGGGGGGCTCCCGGGGGGGTCCCCGGGCAGGTCCCGGCGGGGGTCCCGGGTCAGATACGACTCCCCTCCGGGCGGTTCGGGAGCTCAGACAATCCCCAAGACGTAGCAAAAGTGTCCCGAGAGGCCCCCAAGAATGTCCTCGAGGGACCCGAATCGCCGAAGTATCGGCCCAAGTCGCGACAGCCTCCAGACAGCGTCGGAAGTTCCCACTCCAAGGGCACTCCCAAGAGGGCCCCAAGGAGCAAAAATGGCAGATTTCCCTTGAGTTTTTGAAAGATTTCGGCGTTCTCGCCTTGTCAGCGCCCCGACGCTCCAAGACAGGCCAAGAAGCCCCCAAGACCGCCCCAATATCGCCCAATAGGCCTCCAAGCGAGCCCCAGAACGACCCAAGAGGGCCCCAAGACCGACCAAGAGGCCTCCAAGACAGCCGAAGAGGCCCCCAAGACGGCTCCAAGGAGGAGCGCAGACGGGGGACCCGAACGGACATTTCGAGCCCTCGGCCTGAGAAGCTCTCAGGAGGCCCCCAGAGGTCCCTAAGAAGCCCCGCAAGAAGCCCCAAGAAGCCCCCAAGAGACCCACAGAGACCCCAAGAGGCCCCCACGAGGTTTCCAAGCGGCCCCCCAGAGCTTCCCAAGACGCCCCAAACTGCCCCGAAGAGGCCCCCGAGAGCGCTCGTCGTCGTCGTCGCCATTCAGGATCGGCGGCACTGGCCGTAAGGCCTTCGCAATAGGCCCTGAAGTGTGGCAACCGAAGGGCTGGACAACAACAGCAACAAAAAAAACGCGCATACGCCGAGCGCTTCAGATGCTGGTTGTGCTGCTCTGAGAGTCTTCGTAGAGGGAGTTCAGCTTGACCGAGCTGTCCCGCGTCTGCAGCCTGGCTCAGAATTGCGAGGCGGGGGTTTGTCCATCACAACCGCCGGGGAATCGATCTTCGTAAACCTCGGCGGGCGGTTTATGTGGATACGTTTGCCCCCAATAGGGTCCAAAGATATCCATATCCACCGCTGGCCAAGCTCCCTGAAGATTGATTCCCCAGGCGGTGGTTATGGGAAAATCCTCGCCTCGGACGAATGACCCGACCGCTCAGATGAGACTAAACACGCTGAGGGAATTTGATTTTCGTTCTCAAAATGGACGTGGTTTCCCGTTTGGGGGCCTGTTGTTGTTTCCGCTTTGGGATTCCCGTTCGCGCCGTTTTCGGTTCGGATCCGCTTTATACTGCCGTATATGTGTTGTTGAATGTTCTGGGAAGCCGTTTGGTTTCCGTTCCGGTTGGCCGAAGACCGAAAAGTTGAAAATTGGTTGAGAAACAGAAGCGCCCCCAGCGTTTGCACCATCAGCTAAGCCCCCGCCCCCGTCGGCGGCACCCGTGAGCATTCCTGGCGAGGCGGGGTGGCGGGACTTGGGTTTTTTTTTTGGGGGGGGGGTCGGTTGCCTTCCGGGGCTGGCACTCGAGCGGTGGGCCAGCCCCCCAGCGCTCCCGCCGTGGTCGGGGGTGGGGGTGCCGCCTCGGGTCTTGGCCATGGTGCTGCCACAGGGAGCCCCGAAGGCAGAGGGACACGAGCGTTCCTGGCCACGGCGAGCCCGCGCCGCGAGAAGCTTCCCCGACCGAGGTCTGCGGAGCTGCCCGAAAGCGAGGGCCCCTCCAGGGCACAGCGTGGTCCTCACTTCAGCGCCTCGACGGCGGAGGAGCAACAAAGTGCACAACCACCACAACAGAGCAGGGCCCCCTGGCAGCAGCAAGAGTGAAGAGGCGGAACGAGAAGTAGGAGGTGGAGGCACGGCCACGTGCGTCCAGACCACAAATGTAGCGTAGCCGGCAAGGCGAGAGCACGATCGTGGAGCACATTGTAAGCAAGTGTCAAGCGAAACGGCTGTCCGACTCAGCGATCCAGGGTCCAGGGAGGCGGTCTGGGGCTTCCAGGCCACCCTGTGGGACTCTTCTGTGGTCCTTACCTTTAAAGAAACCCTCCAGCGAAACGCTATTGGCGAAACGTGAGCTGTCGGAGGTCCACGCAAATTTCTTGGATCAGCGCTGGACCCCCGCGCGAAGCGCGCCAGGGGCGGCGCCGGAGGCGGGGGTGGGGGTGACACTTTTGCGGGAACCGAAATGCACCGACACCGCTACTCCCCAGACCTGTCCTGTGGTGCGTTCTGGCCAGCTTCGGAGGCGAATCCAGCCGTGGCGATGAGGGCCTCCCAGGAGGCACCCAGAGGCGAAAACGAGGCAAGGGCAGCGGTATCGGCACTTTCTCCTCCTCTGAGGCACTCTGGCTTCTCAAGCCTGTCGGCTCTGCTGACCACCACGACGCCAAGCCTTTTTCACACCGTGGGCCCCGAACAAAGCTCAACCCACCCCCCACGGCCAGCTTTTTATCCCCCGTCGTTTTTGCTACAGTCCCGGAGCCCAGCGAGGGCTCCCCAGAGGCCGAACATTGTAACAACAGCTTCCATCATGATTGTTTCACCCGAAGCCTGTCGGCCCTGTTGACAACCCTGGACTTCATGTCCTCCATCCATCGAACAGGGGCGGGCAGCTTCTGCCTGATCTTCTCTACCAGGGGGTCGCCGCGGTGCCTGTCGTTAACGACGAGGGCACTTACGTTCGTGTCCCAGCGGATCTCGCCGTGGATCTGCACCTCCTTGTATCTGCCCCACCTTGTCTGGGGGGCGGTCTCCCCAAGCGCTGAACTCAAGCTGAAGCTTGAGCTGTAGTGTCCTGCTTCTGTGGGGGGCGGAAGAGCGGCATTTACAGACTCGTAGGAGGAGGAGGAGGAGGAGGAGGAGGAGGAGGAGGAGGAGGAGGAGGAGGAAGAAGAGCAAATGAGGAGAAACGATCTTCTTCCATGGCATGCTCTGGGGGCGGCACTCCGCCCGCAGCGTCGGTGCACCAGCACGCGAGGCCGCGTGCGGGCGAGCAAGCAGCACGCCTGGACGAGCAGCAGGACGAGACGACCATCACCACGAGAACACCAGCAGGACGAGACAACCACCACACTTCTCCCTATCGGCGCACAGCGAGCCCCAGCAAACACAAGGAACGGAGGGGAGATGAGGCCGGGAAGGAAAGAGGGGAGGGGGAAACGCGGGCAGCTCAAAGGAAGCGGGAAACGCGGGCAACCACTTCACTATGCCCTCTATTTAGCTGCTGGTCTCTCTTTCAAAAGGTCGCTCCCCATCGCTCGGACGTTTATTCCCCGTGCATGTTTCGGCTTCGCGCGCTCTTCTCCCGCAAGATGATCCAAGATGCTCCTCGATGGTCCTCGCCGAAATAGAGAACGCACACGTCCGAGCGATGCCACGAGAGAGGAGGATCCTCCTCCTCCTCCTCCTCCTCCTCCTCCTCCTCCTTCTCCTTCTCCTTCTCCTCCTCCTCCTTCCTCCTCTTCCTCCTGCAGGATGCGCCCTGGGCCCGCCTCTCCACGACGGCGAGCGAATCCCCGACCAGCTCGCCGCCACCCTTGGCGACCTGGAGGAGCGCGGTCAGCTCCTACAAGAGAGGGCGCGAAGTGCGAGGCGGGAGGACTCGAGGATCGAGGGTAGGAGGATCGAGGTCTCGAGTACCAAGGCTTCGAGGTTCAAAGGTTCGAGGCTGAGGGATCGTAGAGGTCCAGAGCAGGGGGAGACAGGGGGCGGGGGAGTTGCGAGTCATCTCTGAGGAGGCCTCCGTAAGAGATATGAACAGAGAAACCGAAAACGGCAGAAACATAGACTTTCGCGGGTCCAGTGCACCCCTCTCCCTGGCGCGCTTCCGGCGCCAGGGGCCGTAGGCACCGCCAGGAGGCCCAAACGCCAATCTGGGAAATCCGCGCGGACCTCTCATTATGTGGTGTTGGGTCCTCGTTTTGAAGAGACGGTCCCCGCGTTCCTCCTCCCTCCTCCCTCTGCTCCCTCCTCCCCCTGCTTCCTCCTCCCTGCGTTTCACCCACCCAGTACAGCGCTTCGTGGCCCAATAGGGAGCTCCACCGAAGGCCCCAGTGCCACCACCCGCATGCGTCCCCCACACCCATTTCGGCACATCCCTCACACGTTTCGTGGCCCCAGAGGGAGCTCCACCGTAGGCCCCAGTGCCACCGCCCGCATGAGCCCCCAAGATCAATTTCGGCACATCCCTCACACGTTTCGTGGCCCCATGAAGAGCTCCACCAAAAGCCCCCGTGCCACCGCCAGCATGCGTCCCCCACACCCATTTCGGAACACCCCTCACACGTTCAGTGACCCTATAGGGAGCTCTACCGAAGGCCACAGCGCCACCGCCCGCATGCGTCCCCCACACTCATTTCGGCACACCCCTCACACGCTTCGTGGCCCCATAGGGAGCTCCACCGAAGGCCCCCGTGCCAACCGCCCGCATGCGTCCCCCACACCAATTTCGGCACACCCCTCACACGTTTCGTGGCCACATAAGGGGCTCCACCGTAGGCCCCAGTGCCACCGCCCGCATGAGCCCCCAAGACCCATTTCGGCACACCCCTCACACGCTTCGTGGCCAAATAGAGAGCTCCACCGAAGGCCCCAGTGCCACCGCCCGCATGCGTCCCCCACACAGATTTCGGCCCACCCCCCACACGTGTCGTGGCCCCATAGGGAGCTCCACCGAAAGCGCCAATGCCACCGCCCGCATGCGTCCCGGCACACCCCTCACACCTTTCGTGGCCGCCCGCATGCGTCTCCCACGCACATTCCGGCACACCCCTCACGCTCTTCGTGGCCCCATAGGGACCTCAAACGAAGTCGCCCGTGGCTGCGTTCGCATGCGCCCACCGCACCCATTTCGGCACACCCATCATACGCTTCGCGGCCCCATAGGGAGCTCCACCGACGGCCCCAGTGGCTGCGTTCGCATGCGCCCACCGCACCTATTTCGGCACACCTCTCACGGGCTTCGTGGCCCCATAGGGAATTACATCGACGGCCCCAGTGGCTGGCTTCGCACGCGCCCACTGGATAAATTGCGGCACACCCCTCACACGTTTCGTGGCCTGATAGGGAGCTCCTCCGAATGCGGTGCATACAACGACGGTGCTCACAACTGCATAAGGTTGGGTCCTTCGTCAGGCTAATGTTTTTTGTTGGTCTTGCGCTGAAGCGGCTACTGGACTGGATCAGGGGGCCACTGGGCCGGGTCAGGCCAGTGCTCAGCCCAGGAGTACAGTTGGTGTTGGAAAGATGGCGCGCCATCGATCTCCGATCAGGACGCTATCCCCGTGAGGCGATCCCCCTGCGAGGACCTCTTCTGTACGCGCTGTCCCCCTGCCAAGGCTTCTTCGGTGCATGCTGCCCCCGAGGTGGGCGATAGCGTGTAATAAGCGGGCTGGCAGATCTTCCAACGCCAACCGTTTGCCCGACCCGGAGATCTGACGGCGCGACACAACTGAAACGTCGTAAACAATCACGACCAGACCCGTAGACCCCATCTTCCGGCGCCAGTGGCGGTTTTTGGGCCATAACTCGAACCTCTGGCGGCCGTTCGGAACGACCCCATGCACCCGCGGGACGCTCACGGCGAAGCGCAGCTGACGGAGCGCATCCCGAGGCTGGGAAACCGCCGAGAACCGACGAAGACGCCCGAAAAACCCTAGGTTTCCTCGTCTGGCCTTCCTCTTAGGCCCTCTCGTGCGCCCCCCCCCCCCCCCTGCGGCTGCACGCCGCGAGGGGCTCCTTGTCGCTGTACTCCTGCCGGCTGCACGCGAGCGTGACCCCGGGCAAGAGTGACCCCGGGGTGCGCGGCTCTCGGAGGGGCCGCGGGGGCACCGAACACGAGCGCGCACGACGCGGCTGTCGCGTCGCGCTCGGCGATCGGGGCGCCCCCGTGGGCCAGCGCCAAGGGCCACTCCGGCGAAGGGCCACTCTCCCGCGCGCAGCCGAGCCTGGAGCGCCGAGGCGTAGAAGTCGAGCACGGCCAGGCGCCGGGCGGGCAGGAGCGCGGAGTCCTGGGCCGAGCAGGTGCACCTGGAGGTCGCCGGCGTCGTCGTGCGTGCTCGTGATCGTGCTCGCCCTCGGGCTCGCCGTCGTGAAGAGGGGGGAGGGAGGGCTCCAGTCTGGAGGACCGGTAACAACCATACACAGGTTCCAAGCCTGTGGGAGCCACAGTACACAGGCGATTCCGCGAAGCCCACGAGAAAAAAGGTGGAGGGAGGGAGGGGAGGGAGGGAGAGGAGAGGAGGGAGGGAGAGGAGAAAAGGCGAGGGAGAGGTCAAGTCAAGCCCGTGCGCCGGAAGGCGAGCCCATGAAGGGCGCAGGCGGTGGCAGTCGGCAGCGTGCTAGCCACGCGCGCGCCACGATCCAAGGAAAACAGTGCGTGCGTCTATAAGGGGGAGGACTCATTCACACGGCGTGTTCATTGCGAATGGCAGCAAAGATCTGAAAGTCCGTGGCCCGTCTTTGGAAAAAACAGCTGGAGACCAAGAACGCCTTTGAGAGCCTATCCCGTGGCCAAAAACTTCCGACTTACTTGTCCACGTAAGAGCCCGCCGCCCTGCTCCACGACGACCGCGCGGTGACCAATTCAGAACTCTCACGATGTATCTCGTCTCCGGTAGCTGCTGAACATATTGTGCAAATTAATACTGGTGAACGCATGGTTCTACCCATAGGCGAATACCAGCACGCACGATGAAGTTGCATGCGCGCTCGTGCCAAACACGCAGTACAAGGAGAGGGAGAGAGAAGGAATAATGGGAGTGTGGAGGAGGGAGGAGGAGGCAGTGGGTAGGATGAGGGGGAGGAGGAGGGATTCAGTGAGGGAGGAGGGATGGCGTGAGGGGTGAGGAGGAGGAGGAGGAGGAGGAAGAGGAGGAGAAGGAGGGCCAGGGCAGCGTCTTCGAGGCACGGGTGCCTTAGACTGCCTTCGTGGCTATCGGAAAAGGGAGGGGGACGAAGGAGAATGGACGAACGGCTTGAGGGAGAGCAAGACTGAGAGAGATGAGGGAGAGACAGAGGCAGAGGCAGAGGCAGAGAGGACAGAGACAGAGACAGAGAGAAAAAAATGAACAACTAGAAACACTATAAACAATATCAGCAACATAAACACAGAGA